GGTCTAGACCTTTTTATACACTGAATACATGTACCTTACATAGGTCAAATGTACCATCGTAAATTTTGATAAAAATGTTTTATCCATATGTATTTTGAAACTCACAATCAATAAAAGAATGATATAAGAATTTGCCATCCACTTTTTTGAGACATGTAAGCAAAAGAAACTTTTTCAGTCTCTAAAACCTTTTTTAAAAAGTAACATCTGATGAAACAACAGCCAAAAACTTTGGAGAAACTAAAAAAAAATCATTTGTCTCTTGACACATCCAAACAAAGGTACATTTCCAAGTAAGGTTTTACATGATTTTTTCATGTTACCAACCAATATTGTCTCTTACCCCCATATCCTACACTGTACCAACCTGATGAAACTATTTTCGGAAGTTTAAAACGTTGGTCTATCTTACACACTCATACTGATTTGATAAAAAGCGGAATTTTTGTGCTGATATAATCGTTAAAAAGGGAAAGTTACACCTGGAACAAATTTTTCCAGCAGATTTCCAGATGGTCTGTACAAACATTTGTTTAAACCATTTCCAGTCCAAACCAGGAATCACTTGTCTCCAAAACAAAACTCAAATCGAATACAACATGTTGCCTAAGCACTGCTATTGCGTAACTTGTTTTGCCCAATGATGCTTTCGAGTAGATCTTGTCAAAAACATTTATTTAGGCCACAATAAGTTGATTTGTTGGTTTTCAAATCTTCTATATAGAGAATACTGGAGTGGGCAGGCAAAATAAGGATGTTTTCTTTTTTCTGATCTTTTCAAATCAAAATCCAAATTCAGGCAATTTTGCTAGTTGTTGATAAGAATTTCATCAAAATTGTCTTGTTTTGGGTTAAGCTCTTACTATGTAAGCAGCAGTACTCAGTAGGCCTGTTTTTCAAATTTTTTCAAAGTCCTAATTTATCTAAAGTAAAGGTAATTTGTCAGGCTTTGCAGTAGTGGTAAACCTGTTTTGAAAGTTTTTAAAACAGACCTTTCTTTTTTAAGCATCTTGTCTGGCTTTCTGTGTTTTCTTTGGCAGGATATCCCAAACTAAAGAACAGCGAATAAAAATAGAAAGCCCTCAAAATACCTAAAGGCGTCCAAAACATCAGTTTCAGTTTAGTTTCAGTTTATTTGTTTTACCAGTAATTACAGCTCAGGCCATTGCCTGCTTTTCAGGTAATCCTGGATACATGTGAAAATACATACAACAAATGAATACAGTACATAAACAATTAGTAAAAATATCAACTAAATCAAGTCCTGTTCTTAATGATCTGTTTAAAAGTCCTGAGACTAAGGAGCTGGTTAACCTTTGGTTTGAAAGTTTACAACTACAGTACCACTGTGCACTAAATTTCTGGGGAGGGCCAGGCAAGGTGCGAGCCTGTGGTGGGATTTTACTCTCCAAGCAGAGGTATGGGTTTTGGGGGTATTTTTAGCGTGTTTTTAGGCTTTTTTATTGGGGTTTCTCTTTTGCACTGAATTGTTTTTCACAATTTTGCACAACGTTTGGTGGGAAAAAAAATTCAGTGCAAAAGAGAAACCCCGATAAAAAAGCCTAAAAACACGCTAAAAATACCCCCAAAACCCATACCTCTGCTTGGAGAGTAGTGGGATTTGTCAGTCCCCACTTGACGATTAGCTTTGACCTACGGGGAGACCTAACGTTCCAGAAAATCGCCCCCCTGGGACCAGCAATGGTGTGGTCCTGCCAGTTCCCAACAAGTTACACCACAAGCACTTGGGGTGTCTTTGGGGAGAACACATTTTAAACAGAGGGGTGGGACAGTCACCACAAAAAAAATGGTTAAAATTTCTCAGTACATACGCAACAGGAAAACAGCTATGTGATCAAATATTCTTGACAACAGTATACAACGAAAACAGGAATCAAAACAAACAAAAAATGGCAAACTAGAAAATTGAATGCGCCAAAGTGCCAATTGAATGAAAGTTTGAAAAAATTAATGAAAAAATATCTAAAAATTCTCAGTACTGTACATACACAACAATAGAAAAACTGCAAAGTGATCAACATTTTTGGGGAAAAAAGTGGCGAGAAAAAGGATCAAAACATTTAAAAAATGTCATAAACTGTGCAAATATGTGTAGAAATTTACCTACAAACGTCATTTAAAATTCTTGGCACATACAGCATAACAGGAAAACAACTAAGTGATCAACTATTTGTAGACAACAACAAAGAAAGGAAAAGGAAACTGGAATCAAAACATAAAAAAGCTGGCAAACTAGCACTGACTGCACAAATGTGCAAAAAAGTATGAGCCAAACCTGTGATTAGTTTTATGCACTAAGGCCACACCAATTTAATTTGTTGGTTCTCGGATTCGCCTCTTCATTTTTTTCTGATTTGCAAAAAAAAAAATTGATTCTGGTCCTGAATCAACTGAAAAATGCTCATATTTTGCCCCCCAACAGTTGAGGAAAGTACTTTTCTTCCTAATTGTTACAGTTTTCCCATCTATCATTGCAGTGGTTTGATTAAAAGTTCAAAATTCAATGTTTAAATTTTAACCCAGCCTTTTGTGTTGACTTCATGGCTCATTCCGTAGCATTTAAGCCTATAATAGGATGCCTAGATCTGTTTTTATTTTTATTTTTTTTCGCCCTGTCGCTTCATATTTTTTCTGAAAAAATCCGAGAACCAACAAATTAAATTGGTGTGGCCTAACAAGTTTTCATAATGCGCAGAGCGGATGGATATTCAACTTGACAGCATTTTCTCTTAGTTCCATCAAATATGTTATTATTACATCATAGATCAAAGACACAAAACCTGCTCACCAACTAAAAGCCTCTTCTTATTAAAATCTCTCAGTAGAATCAATATCTCTCAAACCATTTTTTATGGCTACATATGTATCTCCATTTTGCCATAGATTTGTATAGATTTCTTTGTAATTCTGCCTTTGCCATTTTGCCTTTGAAATGGAACATCTTATTTCCCCATAGATACAGGCCTCAATTCACCTCTGGTGGCTGGCTGAAAAGCAGCCCATACATCCAATTTATCCAGACTGCCATCTCATCCCGACGTGGCATTCAATATAATACTCCAATAGCGTTGCCATAGCAACACGGTTATACCGAGCAGAAAGTCGAAAGATTTAGGCTGATCAGAAGAGTGATTTTCAATGCAGTCCATTAGAATGAATGATTAGGAGTGCCAGGGGAGGCATACTGAACGCTGCGTTACCATGCGCGCACATGACTTCTAATTTTCTCTGCGTTTCCTGCATTTCGCGGATTATGCAGTAGAAGGAGGGTATTTAAGTGCTGTTATATCCGTCCTTTTTATCCACCCTTTTTACCTGTCAAATATCATCCCCGACAACTGAGTGACGATCTTACTAACCAAGCCCCGCGCAGTATCTTTTAAAAACATTTTTATGCTGGAGTCATTCTTAGGTAAACTGTTATCAAATTAGGCTGGAATTTCAACGCGACTGCCTAAAATCCCCTCTTGCGGCCTTTCCGTACACTGACAGGTTGTAAACCCTGGTGAAACGTTTAAAGACTGGCAGGATCTGTAAACATTTTATTCTCGCCCTAAAAAACTTCACCCCGAGATGACATCGCTGTAAACCATTTGATCAGGTTTGACACTTTGATTGGCCCGCCTCCTTTTACACTGAGATGGGACATCCTAGGATCGAAGCTACTCGCACCCAAAATGAGAAAAGACATGAAACGGCACTTAATTCTACCCTGAGCTATGCTAAAAGCTTGCATCTAACTAATTTTTATGGCTAAGACCAATTCCCAGCCTACAAATTGTACGCATTCTTTTAAAAGAGGCGGACACACAATTAGCTAATGTAATCAATATGTGCATTCTTTAGTCAAGTTACCATGGTATTCCTACACCCAGCTCATATTTCTTTCAAAAGTTCAACCCGGTAATATAATAGAATGAAAAATCACTGTGTTACTAGGCAAATAAAAGACCTATTGTTGCCGCCTGAAAGAAAATAAAGGGCCAAGATATCTATAATGAGTTGCCATGCCAACTGCACAACTAAAACGCCAAACAAACCGAAAAGGCATAGAAAAGTATTAAGTGGCAAGCTACCATGCAAATTCCCAGCCAAGCGCGATACAAGGCAAACAAAAACAGTCCGCACGACCTCTCTTTCAAACAATTTCAAATTTTCAGTCAAAACATGCCGCCGGCCCAAATTGCCCCTTTAATATCCATGGAAGCGAGTTCTCCCTGGCTGAAAATGGTTAAAATTTTACCAGGCCCTGGTATCAATCCAGGAATAATGGCACCCCGTGTCAGCTAAAATCAAGAAAATTACTGATAAGCTGCCATTTTGAGTTTGCTCTCATTTTGGGATATTCTAAGCCTGCTAGGTGGGGAGAATTCACTGAGGGCACACCCCCTTTTCGGAGGGGTACAATCGCCAAGAACACGCACTCATGCAGAAAAATACCCACCTTACTAGTTTTTAATGTACAACACAAAGAAGGCAGAATAAATTATGACCACACCAATTTACCATTCGACGATAATATCGCCTGAGGGTCTAAACATTCCACTGATCAAACACTTAACTCCCCCAACCCATGTTTGGCTAAAAACACACTTTTTTTCCGCCCCCTTTTCTCATGCGCGGTGCCGGCGTCCCAAATGTCCCTGAATATGCACGTAGCGAGCACGAGTACTCACAACCATCGTCCCACTAGCCACACGTCCCAAAATATCGCACAATCCAGCCACAAACAAGCCTGCGAGGGCGGAATAAAATCGCCAATTTTCGGGGGCAAATTTGGGTGTCTTCCCAGAGTTTCAGATGGCGACAGATAGACAGCGTACTGCCGGAAATAGGACTACGCCCGAAATCTTCCCCTCAAAACTTTCCTCAGCGCTTTCCCAAACGTCCCCTTAGGATCCCGCCAACTCAAGACTCCTCCGAGCCTCGCTAGCTACTTAAGACATGCGTAAGAAACGGCAGAAAACGGATATTTTTACCTGTTCCGTACACGCTCATGGCCGAACTCCGATCGCCCTCAAAAATCCTGCATTTTGGTCATGCGCACTAGCAACGTGTATAATTTGACTATTTTTAGCGGTTGTGCCAAATAGACGAAAATTCACAAAGAAATGGCATTTGCATAACAGGGGCAATAAGTCTTCTTGGTCCACGTCTTAGGCCAAGACTGTGATATTTTCACGTCTTGGAGTAACCTTGGAGAGACGAGGGAGGCACGGGAGAGGGAAATTTTTGGGGGAAATGTGCTAGAATAGAGGGTTTCTCCCACTTTCAATAGATTTGGATAACACGTATGGATATCTGGGTTGCTTAAATGTAACACTGTGGTGTTAGTGGGCACTGCATAACCCTCACAATCTTATCATTTTGGCGTCTTTGCATGGCGTTCGAGAGGGGCAAAAGTGTGTTTGATCAGAAATGAGAAATTTTGGGAAAGCGGCGTGCCAAAATATCGGGTTTCGCCCACTTTTGGCAAATTTAAGGACATGCATCCGCGGATTATAAAACCGTGACCCTCTGATATCAGGGGTCAGTGTGGATCCTGATTAGTTGTGCATTTTTTGCCGGGCCTTTCTGGAGAGGGGCAGACATGTTTTTGATTAAAAAGGAGCGAAGTCTAACATTTGACCGTCAGCTCGTAGGATCTCGCGATCAAATTAATTGGATATCGGGGTACAAAGATTAAAACGCGCCAGTTTTGCCCCCGATGTCACATGTTTGGTGAATATTCACTCCTTTTTTGTTTGCCCGTCCCTGGGCGTCTCTAGCGCTATCGATCGTCTGAATTTTGGCTAATGTCGGGCACAAAGTGTCACATTTACGGTTGGGGAGAAATTATTACCTCATTGTACTTAGAACTTTTGAGACACCCCTATTTCTTTGCATAGTGGGAAAAAGTAAACAAAGGTGGAAATTTGAGCGGCGCGACACTTTTTAGTGTCCGGACGGCCGTGGTCCGATCGCATAGCCACATTTCTGTTCCCAATCTGTCAGTAAAGTCAATAGATTAATCGCCAGGCTGGCTCAAATTACACATTTTCTCACAGCAGTGTCGACATAAAACCACAGAAAACAGGGTCTTTATTTTTTCTAGAAGCGGGAAGGCTGTAACTCTTCCAAGAAGGGTGAATTAAGAAGATGTTTTAACGGGTGACATGTTTCGCCCGTGTCTACATGATTGAAAGCAAAGACGCTCGCAGAATTAAATCCGCGGGTCGCAGCCAGGGTCATATTAGGTTTCTATTGAAATACCCCAAAATAACAAAGTTGCCAGATTATGCCCCATAAAGTATTTGAAAACCGTAACGTAATCCGAGGCCTGATTACTTTGTACTGAGATTGATCAAATTTTTGACATCTCTGTGCAGGCATCGACCGCCCCGAGTTCGCTTTAATTTGGAACACAATTTTGAAGGGTCGGATCCCGGCAAATTTTGTGCGCCCCTCCAGGCCAGAGAAGTGCATATAAACGACCTGAGCAACAATTGATTAATATCAACACCAATACTGGCCTGTCTAAACTAGGCAAGCGTCCAGAACAGAGGTGACACACACACACCAGTCTTCTTCCCTTCAACGTACATAGCGACATTGGCCCGTTTTGTACTTATACATTAAACATGGATGCTGGGAATGGCAAAACTTTCTCAGTTGTCGCGGTTTGGTCTGATCTGCCCTCCAAAATTGTGTCTGTAAAGTTTGGTCTAGCTACACGAGAAAGCACTAATCATCCGAGTGAAAAATATTCCGGATTCCTGGCATTTGCCAAGGTCCAAACTCAGGCTGCGGAATGACTAATTTGAAGCGTGTCGTCTTCTGAAATGACCAAAAATACACCTAATCATCTGCGGGACGGGGCGACAAAAATGGAGAAAAGAATTACGGTCTTGTGTCGCACTATCAGCATGCTAAGATACGACGATTATATTCTGTCTTTGAAAATAGTTTTGTGTCACTATGAAATAACAAGCTTTTCGGTTTAGACGTGATACTAGTTTGCATCATATTGTTATGGAAGATTTGGAACCATTTACTGTATACAAGAACCCGCATTTGTGACTTCATAGCAACAGTTTTTTTTAATATATTGCATTCTGATATCGAGCCCTTTATGCCAGTTTATGGTCGATTTTTAAACCAGATTTAGGTACACTTGCATGACTTGCATAAAAATCTATACGGCCGTCTGCGAAACTGATGTCGTTTACATGAATTTAAGATGGCGGTTGGAATATTGGAAGGAAGAGTCGATACAAAACAAGTAGTAATAGAAAAATACATATGTTATAAGGTGCATTTGACTATAAAGTCAGACATCTATGTAGTGATTGTTATGATACTAATATGTATCATTTCAGACGATTGTAATTTGGCATTCTTTCAATGATAATAGATTTCATGTGTATGTAGCAGTTACTATATGTGGCAAAGAATGCTAGGCAACAAGTGTACTTGACGTTTGAAAGCCACAAGGCACCACATGTTCACCTGTTCTGCAAGGCGACAAAAAGCGCGCGAAACGTTCGAAGACCACGTGACTACCCATGATGCAGCGCGATCACCCGGGCAACGGCGGCCATCTTGGAACAACAACCTTTCCAAATCAACAACATTATCTGTCATTTTTTGTTGTGTAATTTGGGGAATTTCGGCGTCCTTGTGGTAAAAAATGTCGGACGCGTCTGATTTTGAAGGGGACGAGGGGGGAGAAGAGCCACCAATGGAGTCCGGGGAAGAGGGGGACGCCCCACAAGACGACGACGATGATGTGGAAAAAGAGGAAGGCGAAGAAGGAGAGGAAGGGGGAGGGGTGCAAGTGGAAGACGGTCAACAAGAAGAAGAAGAGGTACCTCAAAAATGATAACTTTAACGTCTTGATGCCTACAGTCTGCTTCCCTGGAAGCTCTAGGTGACAAGGAATAAAACCTAGCCGTCATAAAGGCCATGAATTGCTCAAGTAGTCTCTAAAGCTTTCGGAATTTCTGTCAGTACTAAAAACGTGGCACTAAGACAAAATTTCTCGAAATGAAAATCACAGGTATCAGAATTGTAATCCCTGTTCATTTCTGTTAGAATTCTAATTTATGTCTTTTTGATTTAATGAGAAAGACAACGTAACATAAACATCTGCACTATTCTGTGATTATTGTTGAAGTCCATAAGCCTTTAATTTGTTTGCCCTGTCAGTTCTTTCGCACATTTTCGGTTTGTGGTTTTATCCTACTTAGTCTACTACTAGCAGGCTCCTTGCTTTCCTTTCTGAACTAAGCTATAGTCAGCTACATACAGGGTGTGACATGTTTTACAGTGCAGAACATGGCAAATATTATGATTGAATAACACAAGTGCCCAACCCTGTTCCTGTTGCCAAGGGGACAACAGTGTTACAATAAATACCAAGGTGAACATAATTCACTATGAAATAAAGCATCTGTCAGATGCAATATGTGAAGGCAGGGCTTAAATGTGCATTCACCCAGAGGTTGCTATAGAAACTGATTAAAACACTAAAAAACTACAGCCAAATTTTAAACATTTTAAGCATAAAACAGGTTATAGTTTGTAAGAAAAATTAAACAAAAAGCTGACTATAGAAAATAATCTAGACAAAATAATAATTCAAATTTTCGGTAAAAATTCTGAACACCCATAGTTTCAATTTTCTTAGTCCTAATTGTTTGTTCTTAATCATTACCAGTTTATTGCCAATAAAACCATTTTAGTATAGTTTGTTGTTAGATTAGCCCAGCACTAATTTTTATGAACCATTGTTTCATACATTAATATGTAACCACCCCGGCCCAAAGGTCGTTGTTTTCTACATTTTGCTGCTGGAGAAAATTATTCCCTCCTCAGTGACTGAAATTTGCAAAATCCGGTGTTACACGGTTATACAATCTACTGTTAGTGAGAACAGGTGTTTTGTGGAGAATGAAGTGAGTTTAACGTCAGCTTACCTGTGCTAGAAAGTCCCCCGGCCACCAGACGTTACCTTTTGTTCCGTTTCCGACAGAAAACCAGTAAAACGTACGGTGGGTGGTGCTGAGTTGCCGTTTCTATGACAACAGCCGCTACACACCTGAGACAGTAAACACCGGGGGGTTTGATAGGTTTCCAAGTATCCATGGCAACCGGGGACAAAGTTCAATATTTGCATAATGTTCCCATTCAGGCGAGAACCATTCTGAAAGGGGGTATTGAAAACGTGTGAAACTGTATAGCGCTTTTGGGCATATTCATGACTCTTTCAGCATTCTTATGGTAAATTTACCTGCCCGACAAGGTAACAAAAGATCCAAGGCTGGGAAGATGAATGACCTGTTACAAAAGTGTCAGCCAGCATTCAGCAACACTGAAAACAGAGTGACACCTCACTTTGTTGCATAATCTACCTGTTTTGATGATTTCCAGTTTAGGGAAACACTGATGAATTGTAAATTTAAAGGACAAAATTCTGTTTTCTTTAGAAAACGTAGTAATTGTTTGCATTAAAGCTTGAATAAACATGGTAAAATGAGTCATTTTTCTGGGGGTGGATATGTTATTATTTCTATTGTTGGGCTGATTTAAACTGTTTTCTTTAACTTTTTGTTTTCTCAAATCCAGAAGAAACAATGAAATTATAGGCAGCTTTAGCATTTTATTTAAGTCAACAAAGATAAAAAGAAAACTTTTAGCCAAACGCTGTAATTTATTAGGGTGGATCCAAATTAAACAGTAGTATTTCTTCAATGTTTGTAAATTTAGTAAACCTTGAAATTAAAGTGGTGAGCTAATAAAGGGAATACAAACAAACCACAGTTTGACAAACTGTTCCTCAACACTAGAGTTGTTTAAATAACAGTGTCATGAGCACCTGTTTGTTTATCAATGCAACAGTGTGGTTAAGGTAAAGTTACTAGTTTTTCTTCTTTGAAATATAACTGATGATGAAACACTTATTGAGGCTTAAATTATTCTAGAACACAAAAGTTCTATCAAAAGTTACCTACATGAAGATGCTTGCTTACTTGACTGTCTAGTAATTCTTAAGTTGATGAGAAAAAAATATGTTGAAAATAATAATGTTTTTTTCAAATGATGCAAAACACATGATGGACCTGAAAAATTTAAGGAAAGTCCTTCGATCAGCTGTATAGTAAATGTAATATCAGTAATGTGCAACTTATCATTCTATGTGAAATACCTTTAAGTTAAAGATATCTCTAGAGGTTCTTCTATATAAGGCCATGTTGATTTGATTATATGGATGACATCCACGCGCGCATCAATTTTCTGCCGTTTCCAAAAAAAAAAAAGTTTTCAACCATGCTGTAAATCGTACAAAACAGTTGCAAAATGAGCAAATATATACTGTAAGTTGCACAAAAAGTATTGGAAAACAATAACAATGTCGTAGAATGTCAAAACCAAACGAAAAAGACGAAAATGTAAAGAAATGAATTTGAAGAGTAGATTATTCGCCATACCATACCCTGTGTCATTTGTTCAATCTTCATGACCACGTAGATTTCATAATGAAAGCAACTTTTTTTTTGCAAAACTTTTTTTTTATTCGCACGCTCGCATCAGTTTTGGGGTTCCCAGAGGATGTCATCCATATAATCAAATCAACATGGCCTAAAAGATTGTATTTCTGAGTTTTGTATTTTTTCTTTTTCTGCAGAAACTTCCAGAGCACCCGCTGACAGAGGATATGTTAGGAGACTGCCTGTCTCTGCTGTGTAAGACTGGGAACGGACTGGCACACGCCTATGTCAGGCTAGACATACATGAAAGGTACAGTATTTTTAGCTTTTTCTTTGAAAGATTCAGTCTTTGATGAGAAAGAAGATGATGTTTATCTGAGGCTGCACCAATTTGATGTGCTGGTTCTGAGGTATTTCTGGCAATAAAACAATGCACAGACAAATTTCAAGTTTTCTCAGTCCTGTGTTTTGCTGATTTTGTCATGTTAGTTTTATGTTACATAAAACGTTATAGAATCAAAAGAAGAAAGATGCGATCAAATTTTCTGAATAAGATTAAGAAAAATTGAAACTGTTGAAATTAATTTGTAACTTTTGCAGTAAAGCAAGGTACCTTTAGGCGTGTCATGTTTTCATCAAAAGAAAAAAAAGAGAACATGATATATACATGTAGATTGTTTTATTTAGTCTGTCCCTTAATTGGAAATATTCCCATAAGCTGATGAATTTATGATTCTCCATGAATATTAATCAGGTCTTGACCAAATATGGCAAATATTGCTTCGAGTAATTTTCTGTCCCCAGAGACAGGAGTGACCTCACACAAGGTCACTAAATACGCACCTGTTTCCAGGCTAGTCAAAGGTTGATTTATTGGTTTAGACAGTTTTGTGATGATGAATGGTTATTTTTCTTGAAATTAATTTTAATTTTGGAACATCCCATTGTAAAAGTTAAAGTTCAAGGACCAAAATAGCATAGAATTTTTTTTCTCTTTTCTAGAATCCATTGAATTCTAGAATTCTCTTCTCTAGAATCCATTGAACAATTTATAAAATCTGTAATTATGCTCATCACTGTTTTTTATTCTATTGACAATTTTTTTTATAATGCTGTTGGTTAAAAGCTTTCAAATACATTTTGTATGATCTGTGTGTTCAGCCGTTATAATGACAGTATTATTGTAAAGGGTTGATGACGTCATGTGTGTCATTGAGTCATTGTGATGTGTGGGAAAACATCTTGGGCCACACAAATCTAAGTTCTTCCGCCTCTGCGTTTTGCTTTATTTTTCTTCTGATTCAAAAAAGAAAATTAAAAAAAAGAGAATTCGAATGATTGAATAATGTTATCTTTTAGGATATGAATTGATCCACAAATGCTCATATTCTTACAACCTACTATAATTACTACTGTACAACAGTTGAAACATTTAGGCAATTCATTCATTGCTTAAAATTCAATGCCAGTTTTATCTAATGTTGTGCATTCAAATTTTCTGTGCTAATATCCCCACACATAAAACTCAAGCTTCGAGTTTGTTCCTTGTAACCTAAATTATTTTTCCCTTGCTAAACTTTATATTCTTCAAACAGAGGGTATCTAATCCCAAATCTTCACCCTATTAAATCTCCTGCCAAATTATCAAACATTGCTTTTTATTTTCTTCTTTCCTGAAATTTACAATTCCTCTTGTTCTTGAAACAGAGAAATCACAGACATCAGCATCCTGAAGTCCTTCATCCACCTGCGCTACGTGGACGTCTCCGCCAACCTTCTTCGAGACGTCTCGGCCCTGAACTCTCTCACACACCTGCTGACACTTAAGGCAGACAGGAATCTCCTTAAGACGGCCACGCTGGACGAGCTGCCGTACCTACAGATGGCCAGTTTTACCAACAACAAGATCAACACAACGGAAGGCATCAACCACCCACTACTGGAGACACTCGTGTTGTCATGTAAGTGTTAAATGGATACATATTTGACCTATTTTATTTTAGTATAGAGATTTTATATTAATAAGGGATTAAATCATCTTTGTCCAGAAAGCTGCAGCATGTTTCTAGGTAATACTACATTAACACAACCAAAGGCATCAACCATCCACACTTGATAAAGAACATAGAAATATATAAATGAATAGAAATAGATAAGTGACATTAGAATATAGATACATTAATTTTTTTGTAATTTTGTAAGTCCTTTTTGCCTATTTCTGTATTTGTATCTGTATAGCCGGTATAACCTCCTTTTGGCATAACACACCAGCTATTTCTATATCTTCATTAAATTTTTTGCACTTGACCTATTCATAGCTTGCTTTTAATTGACATGTACATTTGTAATTGATAATTAATTCGTTCCCCCACAGATAACGAGATTAAGATCGTTAGTGGGCTGGACCCTGGGAAGTTGCGTAACCTGCACACCCTGGAGCTGAGGGGCAACAGACTGGAGTCAACCAATGGCATCTACCTGCCCAACCTCAAAAACCTCTTCCTGGTTAGTATTAACTTATCACTAACTAATCACTAACTAGCCACTTACTGATCACTAACCTATTAACCAACGGCATCTGCCTGCCCAACCTCAAAAACCTCTTCCTGGTTAGTATTAACTTATCACTAACTAATCACTAACTAGCCACTAACTGATCACTAACCTATTAACCAACGGCATCTGCCTGCCCAACCTCAAAAACCTCTTCCTGGTTAGTATTAACTTATTACTAACTAATCATTAACTTGTTAACCTTATTCCAAACCAACTGAATTCCACCCATTTATCTCTTACATTTTTATTAAAAAATCTCTGGAATCACTATCCTGAAATTTTGTACACACTTCAGATCTTTTCCTCAGACTTTTTATGATTGTTGATCTTCTAGAGCCATCAATTGAAGTATAGCCTTACATTCCATTTAGATATAAAGACAGTCTTGTGTACTCTACATTTTGATAATGTCAAGTACCTAGTAGTCAGAAATCTGACTTACACTATGGTAACTGTAATGGAGTCTTAGAGCCTGCTACAATGTATGGCAGTATCACTTCATGCAATACCGCTCTGTATTGCTAGGGGGCGAACATGATAAAGCGTGTGGATGGCCTGGAGCGGCTGGAGAAGCTGACCACGCTGCATCTCCGTGACAACCAGATCGACACCCTGGACGGGTTCGCAGAGTCCATGAAGTCCCTGCAGTACATCAACCTCAGGTTAGGGGGCGCTGCAACCACCTGTTGCTTCTACCTTATCCCATATTTGGTTGTAGGGTACACCTGTCTTATGTTTAGGTCACATATCGAAACCGGGGCCCTGCCGGGCTGTTTGTATGTACAAAAAATTAACAATTCATATCAATAATATGCAGAAATAGTGTCCATGGTTGTTATTAAGAACTTTTCTGTGTTTTGTTGTCTTTTATATCATATTTTTCGTTCCCAAAAGCTGCCCGCCCGGGCCCCATTTGGGAATTGTGACCTCAGCTTTACTGACAGAGAGTACACTTGGCAAATATGTTCAATCCTGCCTAGTTCTCTACAAATTTGATGCATTAGTGACATCTTTTCTTTCTGATAAATTTTTCTGAACCAAAAAGGTGGTAGTTAACCTTGTAAAACTGTTTTCAAAATGGTAGATACAGTTCCCTGCAACCAGGTATATGTGTAGATATGCAAATATTGTACGTTTGGGAATGCATCTATAGCAGCGACACCTGTGCTGCAATGCAATGTGAACCAGTCAGAATTGCCCTGAGGAAAGTGAGAGACGGTGCACTGAAATGTCGGCTGTAAATAAAATACTTGGTTGTGTAAAAAAAGGGTCTCTCTACTGTGTCGAAATGGTTCCACTGTAACATTGTCACTTTTTTCTCCTCTCAGAGGGAACAACATGACGAGCGTGAAGGAAGTGAAGAAGCTGACTGTTCTGCCCATGCTCAGGGCTCTCGTCTTCCTGGGTAAGAAGAAATTTGTGTTTTGTTGGTCATAAGCATGCATGCATGCATGTTGCTTGAGTACAACAGCAAGAATTGCCCTTAGTCTTTTTTTTTAGGTCATATCCTCTTGTCTACAGTAAAATTCTGTCCATTAAAAGTAAGAAATGTAAGTACATGACATTCCCTAGGCATACATGCCCACAGTAGGAAATGGCTGTCCATTGTACTTATGGGCCTTCGTATGTACTGTACCGACTACCTATACAGGTACAGGTCTTTCCCCTTACCCTAACGTCTGAACCATCATGGCCTTTTTTTACAGAATGCCCAGTGACCGAGGAGGACGACTATCGTATTGAGGTCCTGATCGCGCTGCGGAGAATCGAGCGGCTGGACAAGGACGAGTACACGGAGGATGAACGGCAGGAGGCAGAGGAGATATACGAGCAGAGGAGACAGGAGGAGCAGCCTCCGGAGGTATGGACCAATCACGGCTCTGTAAAGTTGGGGAGTATTATGGACTGCTGGGGATAGGCCAATCACAGCTCTGTAAAGTTGGAGAATATTATCCACCAATCACGTTCTGTAAAGTTGGGGAATATTATCCACCAATCACGGCTCTGTAAAGTTGGGAAATATTATGGACTGCTATTGGGGAACACAGGCCAAAAATTAGTGAGTATGGCTGAGGACAGAACAGAAATCTGTGTACTGGAAGAAAGATAATTTCCGTCCAGATATGATTTCAGTAACTTCTGATCATCATTTCCCGAGAAATACATGCATGTACCCCACATGACATTGATGTCAAAGTCACAAATTCCTGACTCAAAATCATTATTGAATTGCATTGTAATAAATGTCCTACAATGCATTGACTCACAATTGTTATTGAATTGTGCTGTAATGGTCTACATGATTGCATTGAGTCAAAAATGATGCTTAAATCAAACTGATATCCTTTCTTTCCTGTCTGTCCCTCCAGGGTGCTGAAGAAGTGATTGATGACCAGGAGGAGGCAGATGCAGACTGAACCATCCGTTACCATGGATACAGAAACTTTAATATTTAATCATGTGAAAACACAAATTGAACTTCCCAATTTGAATCATGAATAGTTGAAATTTTAAATGGCTGTATATATGTTGGGGATGACTTGTATATTTAGTCAGGTTTAATTTAGGCACATTTTAAAAAGTATGCATTTCATTACAGTACATTATCATGGATTATCAGATATTATAAATAATATATGACAAAAACTACATGAATAACCAAATTAATGTTTTCATCTATACATAAGGAGGCCAAAAAGTTGGAGAATCTGTCTTACAATTAGACTTTCTGCAAAATGTTTTTACACAACCTTTATGCACCATTAATGCTGGTGTTTAAGGAAGACCAAAGGCAAAAGACAGACCACACAAAGTGTCGAAATATTTATGATGAACGTTTTTATCCTTAAAGTCATCCCAGAATAATTGATACCTAATGACAATTTTGTGATCATTGCTATAGAAATCAATATGCTGAGAGATTGACTAACCAGACATTCTAATCATTGTATGAAATCTGATTGATAATGACATTTGTAAATGCTGTGAATATTTTTAGTATTTGTTGTACATATTTGCTGTATCTATTTCTAATAAAACATGTAGAAGATTATGAAGCATTTGAAGTGTGAACTTTTTTTATGAATATATATGAATGCTCATGTTGATTATAGCTTCTTTCGAAAACAGTAACGTGCCCAAAAAACATTGTTCAGTCACTTGATAGCTACGCTCACTCGGTGGTTATATTCGGTGGTTAACATATTGACAAGGCTTTATCACTCCATATACACCTCCGGGTGGTTCATTAACCCTTAATTGTTACCTTTTGGTTATATGTTGAAATTCTTATGGGGTTCAGCCAACATAATAGTGGGGAGCAGCTGAAGTAGTTATTGCAGGTGTTTGAACGCGACAGCTCTTTTGCAGTACTGGCAGTGATTGGTAGAGGCCGCTGTTGATCGATGCATTAGGCTATGGCCACCATTGCCATATATGGTAAGACATTCCATATATGGCAAAGCTCGACCTGTGGGGGCCTCTAGCGAGAAAGTTAAGAACTGCAACAGAGACCGCTGCAAAGTCTGACCTTTAACCTCAACATATGGTGGTGAGCGTGAGTTTTCGCGTTGAAGTTGTCCAAAACATCGTGAAATTCCTAATTTTCCGGGTTTCCTACCCCCAAGTTTCTACAACAGGTACGTGTAACAACGTAGAAAAATGTGCCGCTGATACATTGTCTGAAAACTCATATTTCAGGTACGAATGCCGTAGTTTTTGTGTGATGCATGTCGATGTCGAGAACGCTATCGCCCCCCTCCCCATGCCACAGACTTGTTGTGATCGTCACCGTCGCTTGTGTCTTTCTGGTCGTCTGTTTGTAGTTGTAGAACTTCTAGAAGACCGGACGATTGTCACAACTTTTTTCGTGTCAAGTACCAGAGTTATCAACCAAGGATTGAGGTGTTCAAAAATTCATTCTTGCCTAGAAAAGAGTGGAACTCGCATGCCCGTAGCCAGGATTTTGAATGGGGGGGTTCTTCCCACTGCTTGATGGGACCTCGAGCGCCGTAGGCGCGAGGCGAGCGCCGAAGGCGCGAGGTTCCTAGGGGGGTCCGGGGCATGCTCCCCCGGAAAATTTGGAAAAATGAACCTTCTAAAATGGCATTTCGTGCATTTTTGAGAGGGTTTCCAAGAAAAAATCTGAGATAAATTTTTATTCAATGACAAAGGGAGCAGTTTTTCTACGATATTCCAGTCCATCTTTTCAAGAAAAATCTTGGACCTTTACATAAAAAGTGGACCAAAAAGTGGACCTTTACATAAAAAGTGGACCAAAAAGTGGACCTTTGAGCCTTGTGGGGGGTTCGTCCGAACCCCCGAACCCCCCCTGGCTACGGGCATGACTCGCTGTCACCAAGTTTAGGGGCATTATCATTAGATAGCTTTAAACAATGTCTAGAGTTAGATGTTCAAGGATTAGGTGTAACAAGTCGTTCGGTGTGATGTAGCCAGTTGCCGCCGCGCCGCGTGCCTGCGAAGCTGGTGTATTACGCCGAAGGGCGGTTATACCGGCTATACAGATATAGATACAGATAGGATTGGCTACTGCTAGATTGTACTATATCACAATTGTACAACTGACAACTACAGTCTACTGTATATCCATTATGACATGTATTGCTATGATTGACAGACTGGGTAGCACCTGAAGAGTCATGGGAAGGTCGTCCAAGGACAAGCGAGACATCTACTACCGGAAGGCGAAGGAGGAAGGCTGGCGCGCCCGCAGCGCTTTTAAACTCATGCAGATAGACGAGGAGTTTAACGTCCTGTCTGGTACGGAACAGTTTGCACAAACATTACCCCAAAAATCAGTTAACTCAAACAACTGTATATGACTTTGGAAAGACAATGTAACAGTGAGGGGTTTATAGGCGCTACCAACTTATCTGGCCGATGGGTCTAGACCTTTTCAGTCGAGCGGTTAGAGCGTCTGGTTATGAAGCTCTGGTGCCCGGGAGGTTGTGGGTTCGAATCCCGGCCTGGGACCAGAAGGGTTTTTACTGGCTCCTCCTGTTTCTTACAACAAGACGGCAAAAGAGAGAGAGAGAGATTTGCAATAGCAAATCTAGGCTTTTTTATGGCATAGGTTTTAAGTTATATTGTTATTAATTAATACCAGTCTAGAATGTTTTCTGATGAATATGCTTTGTCTGCAGGTGTACAGAAGGTCGTTGACCTTTGTGCTGCCCCAGGCAGCTGGAGTCAGGTGCTCAGCAAACGACTCAGGTGAGAACCTCATTTATCAGGTAAGCCTACAAGAGTTTACAGGAAAACCAACTAAAATTCAAGGGTCAAAGAAAAGCTCTTTGTGTATGAAAGTATGAGGGCACAAAGAACATACAAATTATTGAAGTATTATGCAGTGGTTCATTCAAAAATACGCTTTGCAGTACGTCAAATGCTTATACATGATTATCTTGCATCAAAACATGCATAATTGTCAAATATTTCTTTTACTGTAGAGGAGAAGGGAAACAGAAGAGAGATGATGTGAAGATCGTAGCAGTCGACCTCCAGGCCATGGCTCCCATCCCAGGGGTCATACAGATCCAGGGGGACATCACCAAGGTCAGTCTTCAAGGGCAAATGGTGTGTGTGTGGGGGGGGATACTTGACCAAGGTTAGTCTACAAGGTCATGATCAAATAGGGGAGAAGACACCACTGACATCAAGCTAAGGTCAAATGGTTGGAAAGGGGGCATCACCAAGTATAGAAGAACTCTTGTGTATCACTGAAAAGCTTTAAACCACTTCTGCAATAAAAAGTCCAAAGATGTAGTAAGTGTAACAAGTCATTCAGTGTGATATAGCCAGCTGCCACTGCGCCACATGCCAGCGAAGCTGAAGCCGAAGGGCAGTTATACCGGCTATACAGATGAATAATACTGTAAACTCGGCTTTGTGTACTTTGCTTTTCTTTCTGATGCTTAAAGAAGGATTCTTCAAGTAAGGAGCTTCACTTTTACTTGTTCGAAAAAGGCTTGGCTTATAGCTGTACCCACATGTTACCCCCCCTTCCACCAGGATGTTTCTAACCCCCTCCTTCCTGCCCCCCTCCCCTCCAGGTGTCCACAGCCCAGGAGATCATCGGTCACTTCTCGGGTGAGCAGGCTGACCTGGTGGTGTGTGACGGGGCACCTGATGGTCAGTACACATGTAGCCTCCGTAGCAGGCTTATAGAACTGGGCGTTTGGTGGTCTTTGGCTGTTTTCTGATTAGTCCAGTTCAAAAAACGGGGTAATTCAACCAGGCTGGCTATGTTGTCGATATGCAATCAGGAAATAGCATATAAAAGGTCCCAAAGACCCTGAAGACCCCCAAAACCCCTGTTTTTGGCATGCTATGGAGGCTAGTACAGAGGAACCTACTATAAATAATGAAACAATCATAGACAATTCACACTCTACTAGAGAGATTTTTTCCTTATGTTTCTAGAGGCATTTATCAATATCCTTCAGTTACACTATTAGAAATGTTGATTAGGTTAGACATCAAGGTAGGACAAAGTTCCATACATGACATTGAATACATGTATATGTGGCTTGAATGATTTTGTACCAGGTAAATGTGTATGAATTGTGGCTGGTATTGCTTCAATTGATGATAACTATTTGTTGTTATTCCTCCAGTCACTGGTCTGCATGATATCGATGAGTACATCCAGGCACAACTTTTACTGGCTGTGAGTCAACTGATTCTTTCTTCTTTTTTGCTAAGTTTAAAGTTTTGGAGCTTGTGGTGTCATTGAAGCATCCACTGACATGTTGGGGTCCATGTTACAGTGTATCAAAAAAGTTGTCAGACATGTAGAGATATTTTGACAGTCAGAAACAACTACAATGATGCTTCATTTTATCAGGGTATCATACACCCCATCAGTAGTCAGGCCCATATGATTTCAAATATGTTATACTTTTTTTTCCAACAGGCTCTCAACATCACTACCCATGTGCTGAAAAAAGAAGGTGGTTTTGTAGCAAAGGTAAAGCTATGTTCCAAAGACCAGAAGCAAAATGAACTTCAACTTCTAGAATGTTAGATGTTACATTTAAAAGACAACTTTTGTAACTCCAAAATACTTGATACTTTGATACTTGATACTAAGTACTTTAGATTGATTTAGATTTAATTTACAAAAGATTGCTTTTATTGAATTTATGATCCTGTTACAGTACACTTTTTTCTTTTTGAAAAAGTTTCAATGACCACAACCAAAACCCTCTTTTCACTTAATGCTTACAGATTTTCCGAGGAAAAGACATCACCCTGCTTTACTCCCAGCTGAAGATTTTCTTCCCAGATGTGACAGTAGCAAAACCTCGGAGCAGCCGCAACTCTAGCATAGGTCCGTATAAATCCCTTTGGCTTTTTGGATAATATCCCAAAGTTATGTACTATCTTCTGTATTGTAAAGTAGTTTAAAATTGACCTATCTTTCGATATGTTTCTAATCGTATACCAGCTCATAGAAGGGTACAAGTGTTATGACAGTACATGCATAATTTATATATACATATTTATATTTATATATTTACCTTCGCCAAGAAGGTTATGTTTTCAGAGGCGTTCGTGTATGTGTGTGTGTGTGTGTGTGTGTGTCAACAGCATAACTCGAGAAAGCTTAGATGGATTATCTTGATATTTGGTAGGTGGGTAGGTCTTGATGAGACCTCAAAATGATTAGATTTTGGGCCCCCTGGTGGCTTGTCATGGTACTGCAGCTGAACTTCCGGTTTTGATATCTCATGATCCAGACATGCTAAGGTGACGAAATTTGGATGGCAGGTAGCTTTTGTGCTGGGGATAAAGAGACATGAGTTTGAGCCCCCTAGTTGCTTGCTCTGGAACTGCAGGGGGGGTTTAAAGGACAAATGTTTAAAAGAGGATAACTCAAGAACCGATTGATGGATCATAGTGATTTTTGGTATGTAGGTAGCTTAAGTGATGCTTGACATAATGATATTACAATTATGCAAATATTGATGTAATTTGCATAATTAATGAGGAAATTCTATAAATCAGCTGCATTCCATGATAGGAAGTTCAAGCTTGTAACATATGTTATTAAGAACGAGAAAAACACAGGCAAATATCGATTATGCAAATGAAGACTTAATTTGCATAATTAATGAGAAAATTTTATAATTGCATAGTGGTAACTGCCTGAAATTTCATACTTGGGATGTTTGAAAGTTAAGTGAAGGTGAACATAATTAATCATAACTTATTCAAATAAGGACCACATTTGCATAATTTATGAGGAAATGCTATAATGGCATTCTTTGTTAAGATAAGACTGTCTTTTGGTGTAGAATATGATCAACAGACTGATATAATTCATGCAATTGAGGATACTATTTGCATAATCAGGGTGATTAGTATATTTCTTATTTATAAAGGCTAACATCATTTGGCGAAGGTATGAGATCGTGGAACTCTAGTTGTTATATATTATTTATATATATAAATTAATCTGTTTTAAAGCTAACACTTACTAGTAACAGTATAAAATTATATATATTCTCAAATGTATGCATACTCAATAACAAGTGTTATGATAATTTAATATGGTGAACTTCTATAAAGCATTTTTCATTATTTACTCAGACCTTAGTTGTTTGTGTATACAATTTTGTTTTGTGTATACTAGTATACATCATGCATAAGTTACACATTAAGAGGCTTGAATTACAGACTTACTAACGATTACAAGAAGAAGGAAATGACAGTTATATTATATATCTGATTTGCAGAGTCATTTGTTGTCTGTCGAGGCTATGCCCCACCAGAAGGATATGTACCTAACATGATGAACCCTCTACTGGACCATCACTATGGTAAGTATCATGAAAGTTCATCTGTGTTGGTAGTTGCATGTTTAAAAAACTTTTGGTCCAACACAACAAATTCTCTCACCTACATGTAGAGCTTTCGACCAGTCACTCTGGTCTTCCTCAGTAGACTAACCCAGTGAAGCTTGTCACGTGGCTTCTTTGTCGTGTGACGTCAGATGTTTCAGGTAGCATCCACTACTTTTCGTCAGTGACACTAGATACTTGCAGGAGGTTTATAAGCATGAACCTGAAACGTCTGACTGTTTCCAAAATCATATCCAGTTGCTTGAGTAACTGATTTTTGTGTATTGTTGTTGTTTGTGCAGATGTAGACTTTAACAGCCTGGAGGGAGTGAACCGTGTGATTGTGCCGTTCCTGGCCTGTGGAGACCTCAGTGGTTATGATGCAGACATGACATATCCACTACAGGTAAATACCTGTGACTGTGTACCTAGTAATACCTGTACCTGCTCTTCCTACTGTACATTAATGACCTACCGCAATCCATTAGTTTACATGTTCAACTATTTGCCGACGACATGCTTGATTTACCGAACCATCATTAAACCCTCCGACGCTCAAGGTGTACAGTCTAACCTTGACGCTCTAGTGGGGTTATCTGGGGGTACCGAAGATGATGATGATGATGACAATGATGTACCTGTACCAGTAAAATTGTCTATGTACAGATTCAGAACTGAGTATCTGGTATATGTGTACCTCTTCTTGAACAAAACAAAAAACTAGTGGACACTGTTTTTTTTTACATTAAAGATAGGTAGATTGTACCAAATATGAGTTTATCACTCGAATATCAGGAAAACTATAACAAGAAGCCATAGGCGACAATTCTCCGTGAAGTTTTATATATTTCAACAAAATCCCAAGCGTCAACGCCAGACCTACTGTGCAGACATTATAATTAGGCAACGGTTAATACCACGCTCGTCCCCAGCGCCCGTGGAGAAGCCATAGGTTATAGATCGTGGCTTAGCCCAGGCTATGGAAAATAAACTTTCTTTAATGCAAATCTGTCGTTTTTGTTTTCTTTGCGCTATCTAAAGGGTTAGGATAACCTACTCTACTCTGGCGGTATTGTCGTGCGCGCTCGCTAGTACGTAACGTTACACGGCGGCCATCTGAATACATGTACACTGCATTCTTTCTACTATCGGGACCTAAAACAAGACGCAAGATTCCTATTTTGGGGTATAAAATGCTGTCACAATGGTAATATATACCAAATGAAACGGACCTTTACAAAGTACCTCATTTGGTGACGCTATGAGGGTGTACCGTTATCCCTCTACATTTGCCCAGAAGGGAGTTAGTCGCGGAAGGAACTTAGCCACGGAGGGAGTTTTGGCATTCTCCGCCCGCGCCACAAACTCTCGTCCCCAGGACAGTTCACTCTGCTACCCAGCATGCTTTGCGCAAAATGCGTTCTCGGCCCCAGGACACAAATACACGCTAATGCTTCCGCACTGTGTTGCTCTGGGGACCCCGCCGCGCGCCCAGATGTGGATTTAATTATAGCGCGCTAGCGGACGCTGCGCAGGAGCGTGGGTTAATACAATGAGGGCGCGTCACAAGCATAAAGCATACAAAGAGCTAAATCCATTACTGCTCCCAGGGCGTGTAAAGATACTGTGCTTCAAGTTCTAACTTCATTTTAATTACACACACACAATCATTGCATTCACATAAAGATCGGACTATCATGGTCGTGTCTAGTAACAAAGACAGCCCCACCGTCTTACGGTGCCTGTACCTAATTAAGCGCGCCTGGAACAAGCCAAATTCCAGCAACAGTGGCGGTAAGCACCGCGAGTGTTACTACCGCCGGCCAGATAACCAGGATATCTGCTTACAGTACCTCTGCTACCAGACAACTGCCTAAACCTACGGTCTATTCCACAGGATTGTAAAAGTAGGGATGTTTCGAAAATAACCATTTACTCCAATATCAAAACAGCTACGGTAAAAATAAAAAGACGTGCATCATCCCGGACATAATGCAACACCACATGCGAAATTACACAGATATGCGACGTACGGCAGAATGCGTTTTGGCTGCGAACATCTTCCAAAAAACTTGGCATCTCTTAACCATGGGCAAAAACATCTGGAACCACTTATAAAAACCACCCCGTATCTGCATGAACTTTTACCTCCCCCCCGCTATTCCAAACAACGCGTTTTTCTGGACCGTTCCAATTCGCCTCGTAATTGTAGGGGTGCGTCTGCGATATTACATTGACCGCGAAAGCAGCAACGGCAAAAATACACATTCGTGCATCAACACGGGCATGCCCGCAGACGGCGTATAAAATTGCGTGCCGATTACACGAAGAGAACCCAGTGTTTTGACTGCGAACATGAAAAATCAGCCGATTACAACACTCCGTCCGGAGGTCCTGACCTCCTTCACGGAGTAATTACAGTATTACAGTGGAACTTTATGAACACAACAAAAGTACAGCGACTTTTGTGAGATCCAAGACTGCATGTAGATATACAGACAAATACATGGGTACAACAAAATTAACCTAGGTACAAGACAATAGATGATATTATAGTACATCCCACTACCCCTGCAGTTCCAGTATACATTGCTAGGTGTCTCTTCATAACATTTTCATCCCATTTTTTCCAGCTTCCCGAGGGAGAGGCATACGTCCAGCTGCCCCCCACCCAGGGGCCCATCTCCCCAGCCTACCAGCACGCCTGCCACCTGAAACGACATGACCAGCTCAGCAAACCTGTCTCTGGGCACAGGAGTTGGGACAGTAACGACCCAGTCATTGATGCAGAAAACATTACTTACAGTAGAGGCAGTAGAGAACCAGTCACGGACAGTAGAGACACAGACACTGACACATGTACAGATGTAGGAGGAGCTGTCGGAGGCTACACAGACTCAGACTGAGGAAGATGTCATTACAACATGATGCACCTAACAGTACAGACAGTAACAGACAGTAAAAAATCAGTCACAGATGCAGCTTACAGTACAGACCCCAAGGGCAGTAGAGAACCAGTTACGGACTGTAGAGAGTCAGTCACAGACACTGACACATGTACAGATGTAGGAGGAGCCATAGGAGGCCAAGCAGACTCAGACTGAGGAAGATATCATTACAACATGATCTCACTGTCCAAGCAATTCTTTTGATAAACATTTGATGAAATCTTCCAATCTTTCCAAGGTCCTTTTCAAGATTAAAGCTATCTACCAATCCAGGGTTATTAGATGCTTTTTACTATACTAGTATAGTGCTGAGGGCACATTTCCAAACCAGGGCCCGGCCTGGCTGTTGCCATTAACGTAAAATCAACATTTTATATAAAGAATATACGCAACAGCTTTAGATGATACGCAAATAGTTCCCATTATTAATTTTGAAAACTTTTTTGTGCTTTGTTGTCTTTTATATCATACTTCTCGTTCCGTAAGACTACCTGGCCGGGCCCCGGTTTGGAAATGTGACCTCAGCATAACTTCTTAGTTCATGGCATTTTCCCATCAATCTTTTATCCATTCCATCGGGAACCAATAAAGATATATGTATTTAGGATTGAGCGTACCAACCATCAAATGTGTGTTTTCCATTAAAGACATTCCAATAAACCGAGCCGTTGTCCAAACATCTAGTCTGAAGCTACGTATGCCGCATGTACCCTAACCGGATCTCAGTGTGAACCTAACCAGTACTAAATTTGTACGCCACCTTGCGATCTTCAGTAAATATGCAGCTGTTTTAACCATAAAGCGAGCATTCTATCTCTCTAAGCCAGTTGTTGGATTGTTTCAGCAGTTTTGCAGTAGACAGGCTACTAGGAAAGGATACGTGTTTAGGTCTTTCTGTTATGACGAAGCGGTTACGTATGGCCGCACCCTAAGTTTGCTCGTACATTCTTCAGTGGTCAGTTACACAGACACGCGAACTGGGTAGCTGCTATCAGAAGGGCTATTTAAACAGCCATTACGGGGATACGGGTGGTGATACGAGTTATTTGAGGGTGTCAGGTCGCGTATGAGATATTAGAGTGTGTAATCAAGACTTTCTGAATGCTGAAGAAACTAATTATGGTTAAAAACTACTCAGCGGTCAAGAAGCGGGGCGTCGGAATGCCTGTGTGAGGACTGGGGCGGTTCAAGCAACGTGAAAATGTTGTGGATGTGGAAAATGGCGTGTATCGAGCTGTTTTGACGCCTTGTGCGGAAATGACAAACTTTCGAACGGCAAAACAACGCCAGCGCTACGAGTGAATAATAAGCTTATATACACCACCCACACACGGGGGCTCGCATGCCCTTTTCCGTAGAGCGTAATCGGCTGTTTTAATTCCACGTAGAGCGTAGACGGAACACTCTAATTCAACGTAGAGCGTAACTAGTGCATTTTGCGTAGAGCGTAATTGGTGCATTTTGCGTAGAGCGTATTCTCCGTTTTAATTCTACGTATACGTAATGCGTTGTAGCCACTTGGAATTTAAAGCGTAATCGAGAGCTCCCACAATTTAGCTTAGAGGAGAGCGTTGTCGGGACCCCCCCCCCCCATGCAGGCCCCCACACACGTGTACGTACACGTCATGCAAATAATAAATTCCGTCACTGTACAAATGTTTTCAAACAGTTCTTTATTACGCCATTCTTTGTCTAGCATAACTTACAACAAGAGATGAATACATTTAATCCATATCCTAATTCTCAAGTTTAGGCCGACTTAAACGTGGTATTACATAATTTGTAATGTAGCCCAGCAACGCGTGTATACGTGCATGTTGTTGGAAGATCAGAGGTCATAGATAGGTAAACAAGTACTGCAGGGGGCCTTTTTCTGTGATCCTAACTCATTACAATAAGTCTCCGCGTTCTAAGCAATCCAGTTGTTGGCTCTATCCCACCGCTTCGTTTCTGAGACATACATACGGAGCGCTACACAGTCCAGTTTTGTACGGTAAGTCGGTTTAGATTGTGTTAAACTGGGTTTTAAAGTTGTTTGCACCCACCGCGTTCAGAGATCGATATTTACAAGTTTTCGGCCATGTCGCGGGAACCTTTCGACAAGTCACCCTCCAGGTTTTATGTGTGTAATGATAAGATATATTGATGTATCTTGCTGGGTGGTTCAGATGTCTACTAGTTGTTACACAGTAGCGATAAGATTTTATGTGACAAAGAACAGGTTTTGTAACAAGATGGCTTCTTATGTTTCTTTGCTTCGCTCTAGTTCTAGTTATATATGACGAAATGTAACGCTAAGATTTGCACTAGAGCACGAAAGAAATCAGATTTTTAGGTTATTATACGTACCAAACAGTAACTAATATTATTGTGTAACAAAACGCAATGACGGTGACAAAAAGTGAGCGGTGAGGTCAACATTGTTCGTAGAAAAAAATGAGAAAATCCAAGAAACAGACAAAAGTGGCCGTGTGCCAATGTCAGGGTCATGGACTTGGAGTTTAGAACACAAAGGTTGCATGTTCCTTTATCGTGCACATTTTCAATCTTTGCCCCAAGTTAATTTTGGGTACATAAAGTGTTTTCTCTGTCTCAAGCACTTTAAAATCGGTCAGAGTACAACAGTACCAGATGTAGGGCGGTTTTTGACCGTACGAACGGAAGAGCTAGCCTCTACCAGGCTTGGGGAGGCGGCTGGAAAGAGTAGAAATCGGCCAAATAGAGGGATTGCATTTCCCGGCGAAATGCAATCTCTCAACGAACAAACTCCCTTGGCATGCTCATCTCTCTATTTGGCCGATTTCTACTCTTTCCAGCCGCCTCCCCAAGCCTGGTAGTGGCCTCCGGGACACTAGCCGAACTTAGGGGGTTAGGAGTAGGTCGGGAGCAAGATCGGCTGGTGTTCGGCGAGGTCGGCTACTGTTCGGCTGCCCAAGCCGAATGTTTCAAGCATTCGGGAGTGGACGGGAGGCTCGGCCATGGTTGGCTGGTGTTTGGAAGTAGTTTGTAGTCAAATTTGACTCCAATTTAACTAAAATTCGATTCAATTCATATGGAAAGAAGGTAGACTTGGCCTAGATCTGGTCAGACTGCTTGGTCGGTTGGTGTTCGGGGAAAGGTTCTGAATGTGTGACAGGAAAGTTTGGGTGATGTTTGTCCGCTCGACGTCGTCTTTGACGGCATAGAACGACTCAATCCTTCCTTCCTCTGATCTCTCTTGAAATATTTTCTCTGTAAAACGCCAGATATGTCGTGATTTTACCAGTTTACACCATGACCCCTTAGCTCCCTACCGGTGAATTCGTGAGTGATCAGAACAGCGGAAACTATTTTTACGTCATTTTAAAACAGATTTATTGAACTAATGATTAGCGTCGATGTTTGCCGAACGGAAAATTTTGATAAGACTGTTTTTGTAGCGATCACTTTGCCGATAAAATTTAGCTGACGGCGCGGGCACATTTTTTGTACGTCTCCGTGTGATTTTTGATGTGGTAGAGTTTTCAAGCCGGTCATGACAGAAAAAAAAATACCGACAATGATCTAAGACAACCTTTTTCGTAACAAGATCGCTGCCTGTTGTACGACGCATCTACGATTATTCCAAGAATTCCCTTAGTTTTGCAACGATCGTGCGACTGATGTCATTGTTAACAGGTCGCAATACGTTTTTTTTGTGATTTAGGCCTCGTTTATGATTCAAATGTGTTCCGGTTAACGTAGAGACGCATATCTGTGTTATTATAAAAAAAAAATTCCTGGTCGTTTAAAAAATCCCAGCCGGTACCTACAAGTACATTTTCAAAAGGAATTAAACAATAACATTGTATAATTGTTTTCCAGTACTTGTGACTGTAAAGCTTGGGACGTTAGTGACTTTAGTGACGCTAACTCTTTTTGAATTTAGGGACTTTCTTCTTCTTCAACGATCAAATAAGAAGAAGAGACTCCAAGTATTTACAGACTAAATTTGCCGCACTCCACACTACAAAACTGAAGTTAGAGATTGCTTACTCTCAATCCGGGTAAAACAAACACACACTCAAGGGCTTAAGTAACCACCAGGACCGGCTTCATTTTCACACACACAAGACTGGTCGTCTAAATTCAGTGACTTGTGGTCCACAAATACAGGGTCGGGTGGTGAACTGTTCCACTAAAAGGCATCCAAAGCGATTCCAGGGCAGGAATACTAGATTTTCAAAGTCAATGCTCTCATCCTTTGTTTTAACCTATTACTTTGATAGCAAACTGATGTCTGTGAGGCAAAAATACGACGGAAAACGGTTGTTTGTGTCGCATCGTAGGTTGGTTCTAGCTATTTACTGGCGGTAAAAAAGGACTTCTCATGTGGCTTGTTTTGTGGCTATTTCAAACGTTAACACTTAACGTATGAAATGATGACGAAAAGGTGCTAAGAAATGGCAGTAAATGTCAATATCAGACAGATGTCCTTATCTATTTGTCGTCCATCATCATTTGCACTGCCGCCCTGAAATCACACTGGATCGCGGCCTTTAAACGACTGTCCACGTTTTGTCAAATCATCCTGCACACACGTACCTTAAGAGAACAAACAACCTGACGTCACCAGCAGACGCAATACCCTTTGTATGCAGCACAGCCCAGCAGTGAGTAACTATTTCCCCCCCCTGCACGCACGCGGTGTCTGTAGGCAGCAGCAGCAGCAGCCATGTCGCTCACCGCCGTACTGAGAGGTCTGACCGTCGCGGTGCTGGTGTCTCTCTGCGCCGGTAACTCGCACACTCGGGTGAAGTTTGAGAACAACGTGTACTCAGACCTGGTCCTCGCCATCCACCCTGATGTACCGGAGGACTTGGATATCATCGAGAGGCTGAAGGTACGTTTGTGGGATTCTTATACTTTAATGCTTAGATCACATTTCCATACCGGGGCCCGGCCGGGCTATTTGTATGAACGAAAAATTAACAATTCTTGTCAAAAATATACAGAAATAGTGCCCATGATTATCATTAAAAACTTTTCTGTGTTTTGTTATCTTTTATATCGTACTATTCGTTTCCAGAAGCTGCCCGGCCGGGCCCGTGTGGCATTTAGTTCACCATCTACTACTGTAACACGAAATCTAGGATTTAATTGTAAGCATACGTTTTTCAGTCGAAGGGAAAACATTTTCCCTTCGTGCAGTGCAGCTTTAGAATGCTCAAAAGAAGAAGAAAATTCAAAACGTGTGAAAATGGAATTATTTGAACTAACATTTAGCAAAACGCCGAGACTAGATTGTGTCAATTCATCTTTCTTGAAAAAAAAGTTACTGTAATTTTTACTAGACTTGAAAACAAGAAGTTCAAATTTTCCCCGATGTTAAATGACTTGTTGCTCTACAGCACGGCCAGTCCTGGGGGTCGTGTATTTGCCTGTTGGGGCCAAATATATACTTATGGCTTTCTTTTGTTGTTCTGTTTCACCCAACTTTCCCCATTATTCTCTGCGACTCGAGTGCAGAACAGACGGTTTTAATAAACTACAAGAAGGATGTTTGACTTTCAGAGCAGGGAAAGACGTGATTTTTATTCTCTATGACTCTCAGTTTTGTTCGTTATGACTTGTGTATGAAAAGGCAACTTTGATCGCCCGATAGGCTGGTGGGTGGGTGTTTGGCGGATTGAAAAGAAGAAATAGCGCTTTGTACGAAGCTCAGGTGTCGAGCTTGCTGTTTCTAAACCACACGTTTTGAATCTTTATTTGCTTTCAATCTTTATTTGCTAGTGACCGATAAATGTTTATAATTAGATCTACAGTCAAGCTTGAATTGTTATAGGTCCTACACAAATACCATCTTGCCATCACTTTTTCACGAGCACTTTTTAGCTGTGCCAGTAGATTATTTTTCCCATTTACCAAAGCATAAAGAATGCTGTCTATAGTGACAAATGTCTACTGTGACCGTTTTTAAGTCCCCTTGATAATTATGTTCCCTGGACAGACTCCGGGAAATTTGGTCTCTAAGTTAGGCCCACCTTACACCAAACGTAAAAATTCTGTATTATGTATATTTAAAGATATAACTTTTTTTGCAGTTACAGGTTTGACAGCACATTGGTAGCCTCCGTAGCAGGCTTATAGAACTGGGGGTTTGGTGGTCTTCGGCTGTTTTCTGATTAGCCCAGTTCTAAAACGGGCATTCAACCAGGCCGGCTATGTTGTCTATATGCAATCAGACAATAGCTCATAAAAGCTCCCAAAGACCATGAAGACCCCCAGTTTTTGGCATGCTATGGAGGCTAGCACATTGGCACTCTCTAATGCCTACACGATTTGACAGGGAGCAATGGTTACAAAATGCGGTAACGCCCAATGTTCTCTATTTGCGAGGAAACACGGCGTTGCTATCATGGGTTTTGATACAAGCGGGGCAGGCAAATTTGCCGGTACAAAGGGCAGGACAAAACTGGCAGATATAGTCACGGGGCCAGCGGGTTAGTGGCTCGTCTGGGCATATCTATACTGAAGTTACCAAATTTTAAACGCCTGGATACCATTTCTTTTTTCTGGTGTGATATATTTTCAAGTGTAGTAATAAGGATGACTTGGCCACGATCCCTGAACCTCAACAGGGGGGGGGGGGGGGCAAGCTATGACGATGATGAACAGGGCCTAGGGGAGCCAGCCACTCCAAAATCTGCACGTTTTTTTCGCCGTGGATTTATCAGTCTTCATACCTAACAAATGAAAAGAAAGACCTTTATTGTACATCCATGCCACGACGGACTAGGTGCACGGCAAGACTTAACAGACACATAACAAACATATGTAGAAAAGTGGAGACAAAAGATACACTACTTGACTTAGACATACATAAGGAACATACAAGGATACTATACTAGGCTAATACAAAGTTCTAGTTACTGAGGTAATACAGAGTGGTCAACTTCTTCTGTACAATGGAAAATGTGGGAACAGATCATGTTTGTGATACAGGGTTTGTAATAAATTGTTACCAAGCCCAACACTGTCTGAGAGAGAGAGTGCAGGCAATAGGCGAACCGTTAAAGATATACAATACCAGAAAAGATTATTTACTAAACATCGTCATTGAGAATGAAACGATTCCTAACATCTGCTTGGAGTTTAAGTTCAGGCGCGGTCATATTTGACAGTTCTTTTGTCAGAACAAGACATCGAGGTTTAAATGGCAGAACCGACCGCCGCTCTACACAGTGGGCAAATAAAGTTTCGTACAAAACATCCACGACTGTTCTTAGAAAGCTCTCAATTTCCTGTGGTAAACATACGACGTTTGAACTCATGGCCATCTAGATTCCTTTATGTACATTGTATTCATATCTTTCTGGATAATTAGAAGCTAAACATAATGACAATGATGATAATGACAACTGAATCTTTGTGTCCTCTTGAATAAAGTTAGAAAGGGCATTCTTTGTGTGGCAGGGGCTTATAACTTAATTAATGGTACCATTAGCAACATTAACAGCCGAATATGAGCTCCTGAACACTCGAAAAAGCCCCCAAACAATTCGGGTTTGGACGGGAGGTTGGACCATGGTTGGCTGGCGGTTGGCTGGTGTTCGGGAGTGGTCGAGGCGTGATTCGGAGTCAAATTTGACTCAAATGTAACTCAAACTCGATTCAATTCGAAAAGACTGCTCCCAAACTTCAGCCAACCTTATTTGGTTGGTGGTCGGGGGGAAGGTTCTGAATGTGTGACATGGGCTTAAGGCATGGGTCCATTACAGCAATATAACAGTCACTTTTCTTCCTAGTAAGCCAAAATCAACAACATCAAGCGACTATGAATTTGTGTTGAGTAGACATTTAACATAGAACCAGTAGGTTCAAGTTATGAAACATATATGTTGAGCTTAGCATGTATTGAGATCTTGATTTTAATTAGAACTTGTAGAGTGTTTGCGTGCTATACAAAAATCCGTGCCTATGCCAGGGTTCAGATTGAGACTTGTTTTTCATTTCAATGCGGATGCCAGCATAGAGGTGAGAAGGGCAGCGACAGGCAAATAATTCTTGAACAAGTCCTTCTATTCAAGTGTTTCTGAGGTTGATTTAAATGGGGTTTAAGTGCAGCGTGTTATTAAAATGCCGATCAAGAGCGACTGTTGCAAAGTTGGCATAAAAGATTAGACCGGCATATTTTACCTGAGTTAATCGCTTGATGTTCACGCGAACCTGTACATTATGTTGTGTCTAGCGAGGGAATTATCAGGTATAAAAGAATGATTTTGATGTCAAGAAACGCTAATGTAGAACGCGTTTTAATCCCATAAAATATGCCAGTCTACCTGTATGGAACAATAGTGCAAGTTTGACAGTTTGTTGTTGAACCTATGGCATCAAGATGTATGTATCGGTATAGACGCATGGTTATAAGGCAATCTTTGTACTAGATTTGCTGACTGGTACAGTTTAGAGAAAGAAAGTGATGTCTATCCAGTTTTAGCTCACCGAAGAGCTCATCTCCCACTGGTCGTGACAGAGAAGACAGACGCTATGTACAGTATTTACAGGTTCATTGTACCGGCGAAATTTCCCTAGCTCTCTTCGACAAGCGCAATGAACCACAGCTTAACGTCCCGTCCTTGGGACTGCAACACTTTAAAGTAGCGTGCATGTCGGGTGAGCGACAAGAGCCGGGATTCGAACTCCCAACCTCTTGGTCCGCTGGCAGGGTCGCTAACCACTAGACACGCACACAGAAAAAAGAAAAATACCTCGCGTTTGATTTGTAAGCTTTAGTTATACTCCACGGTAATAAAACATACTTATCATCATATCCATAAACTTTTTCTACATACATCTATTTTCTGTAAAGTTTTAGTGGGTTATGTGGTTATCTGCAACGTCATTTAGTTTAGTTCAGTGTAAGAATCACAGGAAGAAAAGCTACAACGAAAATCGCCAAGCTTATTGCAGATAAACTCTTATTCCAAATCAAAGCGATTTCGTGACGTTCTTCAAATCAATCACTTCAATAGAACCCTTAATAGCTCGGCGGGCCGTACTTTGAACTTGACATTGCTTTGATCTCTTGCCAACTTTAAATTTACTCCGATCTAAGAATATCTTTCTGTTTGTTGGTTTGGATTAAAGATCCTCCGTATTTCGGCAACTCTAGCTGCGAGATCTGTCCTTTTGTCTGACAAAAATTGAGAGCAATTTACGTTTTATTGAGCATTCATCTTATAACTGCCAGTGTTCCGCACCTGGTATTCTGTTGCTCAAATAAACCACTGATATTCAAAGTTGCGCTGTTCGGTTGTTATAATATAAACCTTAGTAATAAGAGCAGGGTTTACGTCGGAGCGTCGCTCGAGCTCGACTTCAAAAGAAACCGTTTTGACTCACGATAAGCTTCGGTCTGATGTAACAATGGTCCGCAGATTTATTTTTAATTTGTACGCGGATGTAAGTTTGGAGGTTCTAGGGCCGCAGACATGGAAAGAATTCTTCACCAAATCCGTCTATTCAATCGTTCTCACATATGCGCTGCATATGGTGGAAGTGTGGATATAGGCATCAAGTGGTGTTAAAATTAATTAACGAAACGATCGAAGATTGTTTCTGCAAACGCATCACATGGAATTAACTCTCTAGCGACCGAAATATTTGGATTAGCGTTTGAAGACTTATTCTTTCCTACAACAATCGCAGAGTGGAACTCGCTTTCACCAAGTACAGTACTGGCATGGTCACTAGATAGCTTTAAACAAAGTCTAGAGTTAGATGCTCAAGGGTTAGGTGTAACAGGTCGATCAGTGTAATGTAGTCAGCTACCGCCGCGCCGCGTGCCTGTGAAGCTGGTGTGTTACGCCGAAGGGCAGTTATACCGGCTATACTGATACAGATACAGATATGCTAGAAAAAGCTAGTCGAAGCATTTTTCAGGTAGGTATGACGCATACATAGTGTACGTGTATAGACTATCCCGTACAGGGGCAAACCATCAAGTAGTATAGAATGTTGACTGGTGAACATTAGGTCTGTGACCCCAAATGTCGGCATCGCTTGGTTGCCGCCCAAGGAAAGAATGCTTTAAAAGGAACACATTGCGAATGAAGTCAAACACAATATCAGCTTTAATCATAGTAAAAAAAATAGTGTTGCTACGTTGCCAAAAGTTTTTATGACCTGGTCGATCTGTCTGTCATCTGTGAATGTTTTTAACGTACCATAACTTTTTGTGTCGTACTCTGTAATCTTTGAAAAAAATTGTTCACCATAACCCCAACATTCATTGGCAAATTTTAAAGGCTAAAATATAAATGAGACCAAGACGTCCATAATTTCTTCTCTATTTAGTGCTGATCGTACATACCCAGTGGGTCACCACAGAATGTAGCTAGAGATCAACCACAGAATATAGAATACAAAACTCAAATTATTGGCAAAACGTAACTAAGAAAAGGAAATTTGCACAGTCATTCCAAGTACAGTTCCGGTCCCTGCAAAAACATATTCCCACGAGAGGCATTTTACATAGTTACCGAAGCTGGTGTAACCAGGAAACGGTGACGGTCGTGAGGCCTGATCAATCAGATAACATGAGCGATCTGATGACTTCTTCAACACGATACCCGCTAATATGTTATCATATCAATTAGCGATGTCACTCATGCGGGCGGGAATAGTTGTACTGGTGCCGCCTAGTGACGGCTAACGACTTATAAATACCCTCACACAAAGGGAGAGAAATGTCTCAAAACGTCAGAGAGAACAAGAAAGGGTTTTGTGAGCTGTAGTTTTAGTATAGTTCTATCAATTCGTTCTGATGGCCTGAATTCCACTGCTTGAATGTATAATCACTGAGTCAATATCTTTATATTCCGAATTCTGCGGTAAATTGACTGCTGCTTTGTTCCTTGTGTGTATAATGTTCTTGGATAGGGAAGGTTTCTGGGCCAGGTGTTGTAGTTTTATCACCTGCCTTTGTGATTCCTTAGTTCTGCCAACAAAAGAGTTCTCTTTTGGCCTAGCTCAGCCACCTTTAGTCCTTGGCCCTTTACTAGATGAGGAAGGGATAATGTGAAGGTAAACCTACCTTTCATGTATGTTTCAAGCATACTTCATACTTACACACACACATTAACACTTTGACAAATTACTTCAATTTATCATAAATCCAGCTACGAGTTACTGATCATCACATTCTGGAGTGGACAGTTGTTAATGACAGTTGTTCATGTTTTAGAATTGTTATTTGTTTGCTTGTTTTGCAATAAGTGAGATACCAAAATATATACAACGGTTCTCTGGGTTATCAAATATCTAATTTTTTGCATGATCCCAAAAGTTATATATGTTATGCGGTGGTCTCTTCTGGAGAAGAAGAATACCCATGTGTGTGTGTGTGTCTCAGATTCGCAGTTATTCACGCGAAGGCCACCGTGTCAACTGTCCTCACTCAGGTGTAGGGACTGACACCGTCATCATACTCGGAACATCCGTATCTGTACATGAATCTGTACCTGATTGCAAATAAAGATCTCGACTGATTGCCATAGATAGATAAATAGATGGATAGGTGGTCTCTTCCAGTCTTTTATCACCTCACGGACTCTCTCTTTCCTTCCCCAGACGATCGTGACAGACGCGTCCGAGTACCTTCACATCACGACCCGGCAGCGCGCGTACTTCGGCGGCGTGTCCATCCTGGTGCCGGAGACGTGGCAAGATCGCCCCGAGTACGAGTCCGCTACCTGGGAGACGTACGACACCTCCGACGTGCGAGTCGCCGCGCCTAACCCAGAGTTCGACCACAACCCGTACGTCAGGACCTACTCCGGCTGTGGGGAGAAGGGGGAGTACATGCACCTCACCCCCGCCTATATCCTGGACCAGGTGCCTCTGGGCAGTACGGACTACCTCTGGGGACCTGGAGGTGAGACGGTGTTTGTTTGTCTGTCTGTCTGTCTGTCTGTCTGTCTGTCTGTCTGTCTGTCTGTCTGTTTGTTTGTTTGTTTGTGAGGCTGTGGGGAGAAGGGGGAGTACATGCATCTCACTCCCGCCTATATCCTGGACCAGGTGCCACTGGGCAGTACGGACTACCTCTGGGGACCTGGAGGTGAGACGGTGTTTGTTTGTTTGTTTGTTTGTTTGTTTGTTTGTTTGTTTGTGAGGCTGTGGGGAGAAGGGGGAATACATGCACCTCACCCCCGCCCATATCCTTTACCAGTTTCCTCTGGGGACCTGGAGGTGAGACGGTGTTTGTTTGTTTGTTTGTTTGTTGTTTTGTTTGTTTGTGAGAACGTACTCCGGCTGTGGTGGGGACCTGGAGGTGAGACAGTGTACCGGTTAGACTGTTATCAATTTACGAAGAAATATCAGATAGATCTGTAAACTAGACATTCCATCTTATCTGTGTGTTCTCTTGCAATTAGTCGTTGGGCAGAATAAAAGTTTGAATTAATGGCGGACCAGCGTAAATAAAGCTCCACAAAGGCCTTTTTCTTCAGCATATTTGGTCTTGGTAAGACATGCCCTTAGTAAATACATTACACTAATTTACAGACAAGTCAAATCCATATGCCTATATTTGGTCAACCTAGTTTCGGACAGACATTTGGTCGAACCATGTTGGTCTGTCGACCAAATATGCTGAAGAAAAAGGCAGGCCCTATGTTGTGTCCTTGGGTAAGGCACTTAACACAAATTTCCTCATTCGACCCAGGTGTAAATGAGTACCTAGCTTCGGTTAGAGACGTCCTCTCGGATTGGACGTAAAGCCGGAGGTCCTGTGTTTAAGGATAGCCACACTTTGAGCATGTTAAAGAACCCACTACACTTGTCGAAAAGAGCAGGGGACCTTCCCGGCGTGAATGGTTCATACTTTACAGTCTTGTCTCAGGTTTGACATCATGTAGGAGCGATTGTCACCCGTTATGTCAATCATTCCACAAATGTCACAGTGGTAACTTGTTCCCAAGGAAACAACGATCGAGTCTGCCAGGGATTCAAACTCAGAACCTTTCAAACTCAGACTCTGAGTCAACAACCCTGACCACAAGACCACCTGTGTGTGTTTCACTAAACTACATGATACACCCTAATCCTTTGACAAACTGTAAAAGACAGAAGATCGCACGGTTATTTTTCTCCCAGTCTGGTTCTTGAGTACGTGCGAGAGTTGTTTACGTCCCAGGCCTGTAGCGGGGGGTCCTGCACTGTCAGTTTTACTCAGGTTGTTTGTGCGCTGCTAATGGTGAGCTTATCGCGAAACGGTTGGTACAAACAGCCTGTTTTTCTTACACATCCTTCTCAGGGCTGTCAGGGTATCTGTGATTGAGTGTGGCGTTATTTAGGTTTACATGCACAACGTACGCACGTGCACGAGAAAACTGAAAACACGTACTGCAGTGGAAACTTTGAATAATTATGTTTTCCTCTTCCTATCGCATGAAAATTGTATCAGTTACGATTTCTAAGGCCCCCACAGTGGAAAAGTTACCTGTGATCTCCAACTGTTATAAAAGGTAATCCACATGTATACGTGTAGTTAGCATGCAATGTGTCTTACATGTAATGTAACAACGAACTGAAAATCTTCAACAAAATCACGGAACGAAAATTGGCGACGCACTCTTGCAATGAAAAAACAGGACTTGTTTTTTTTTTTCCTTTTCTTTCTGGCCCTTTGTTATCGACGACAATACACGGCGATCTAATAATTGTTATTGTCCATTAAGACCACACGAACGTTTCTATTCCCAGTCTGAGGGTCTGTAAGGTTATCTGAGGTTTTTTCGTTCCCTCCGTTTTTGAGTGACGGATAGGCCCTGAGTTTGGTAACGTCTGAAGTCCAGAGGTAGATAGAACACGCACAGGTGCAGTAATGAGCCTACACGGTCTTGTAGAAGGTCAAGGCTTACAGCACGGACTTCAGTCTAGGTTGTGTCCTAAGATTCTGGAAAGTATCCAAGGAGAGCTCGAGTTACACATTGTGTCTTTAAAGTCAGAAAATCATGATTGAGAAAAGCTCGACTCACCAGAAAGTGAGGCCCAACAGGCCCACAATATTATAATTAAAGCTCATCTGTGTCGGTAGAATCCAGAGATGTATAAAAGTTCAAACTTTTGTTCCAACACAAGAAGGGAACTCACCATAAATTTTCGGTCGATCTCTTCAACCTTCATCAGATGTATGATGCACTCGCTGACTCTCCGGAAGTCGGAAGCGTGATGACGTCAGGAGCGCATCAAAAGATGCCACTTTGTCTAATAGTTTTATTCATCACTTATTTGTTTATTTATTTGTTTGTTTGTTTGTTGTGCAGGCCGTGTGTTTATCCACGAGTGGGGCCATCTTCGCTACGGTGTGTTTGACGAGTATGGCATCCCCTCGGAGGGATACCCCAACTTCTACTTCAACGAGAATGGCCGCATCACCGTCACAGGTACATACTATTAGGTATCCTCTCGCCATTGAAAAGAGTCCAGAAAAATTTCGTAGCTGGGGAAGAGTGAGACAAAGGGAAAAGCAGAATGTGGCCCAAGAAAAAAGAGAAGAAATATATTACAAGTACATGTAATTTCACAAGAAAGTACGTGAGAAACAAAAGCACACGAAAATAAACTATGCGTTTCTTTCAAGTACAACAGAACACAAGATGTATACGCATATTTCATTGGGACGCTGTCAAAGATCAACATCTCACATCGCATTATGTTGGATCGAAGATTTGCTTAGTACCATAAGTCATTTATTGGGTGTTAAATATTTTTTTTTTATTTTTTATTTTTTGAAGTTCATTTTTTTTATTCATTTCATTATAGAAACAAAATCATGGCACAAGAAAATAAATGACGTACATGTATGACCACAAAACTGATACATAAAACCGGCAGACAGTAAACAGTAGAAATAATAAGAAATTAATGAGAACCCCCCAGGAAACTAAATTAAAACAATGGCCAAAGGAAAACTTAGATCGGTATGACATGGGTGTTAAATATTTATTCATTTTGTTTCATCAACTTCTTATCAAGTTCAAATCAGAACCTTAAGCTTGAAAGCTCTAAATTTCGCCACAACTTAGACTTAGTCATTACTGAACTTTACATGTGACTCAATGATCAAGCACATCTGTGTGTATGTAGTATTGGTGACCTGGTCGGGTCTTCTGAACAAAAAAAACGCTGTTTGTTATACAGATACTATGTATACAAACAGCTATACACAACAAGTCTTTCATGTATGAACGTTCCGTGTTTTCGCTTTTGTAAAAGAAGATTTGTTGGCCGGCAGTGAGTCTCCCACGTTCTCTTGTCACACTATTGGTGACCTGGTCGGGTCTTCTCAACATAAAACAGTTGTTTGTTATACAGATGTATACACCTATGTATGCATACAGGTTTAACTATACACAACAACTCATTGATATATGAAATTCAGCATTTTCTCTTTTGTAAAAGAAGATTTGTTCGGCGGCGGTGAGTCTCCCACGTTCTCGTGTCGCCCAGACAACCTGTTTACTGTGTGCAGAATGTGCGAAGTAACATTCCCATTGAAGTCACTCAGTAGGTACAGAATATGGTAGAGTCAACAGCACGAGACCTCGAGCGAGACCGCCCGCTCGGCGCCTGTTTCGGCGTAGTCTCTACCAGACTTCTTTGGGGGGTTGAAAATAGTAGATATTGGCTGGGTAGAGTGACTCCGCAAGAGAATAGGTGGTCAGAGATACAGAAGCAGAAGCTAGACACTTTTCTGACTGAGCAGTAGCTCTTCTAGCAAATACTAGTAGTTCACCTTGTTAGGGCAGTTTATTCTGTTTTGTCAGTTTATAAGTTTCCACTACATGCTGTAGACTCTCTTTCCACTGGACCGTACAGCGAACAAAATTGTATTTGTGTGGCCCTTGATTTCGTAATGGGAATGCGCATGATGTAAGATGCTAAACGATAAGTTGAAAGATAAAATATAATGAAACGCACAAAATGTTTAAAAAATCGTGTTTTTTCTGTGTCATTCTTTAAGCGATCTGTCAAATATTTGGTCGCTATTGACAAGCAGTCTTACGCTGGTTATACCAGCTATACAGACACTGTCCTGGCAGAAAGAAGCCAGGAGTAGACTACTTATCGACCGGCCCACACACCGTGGTCTTATCTTTTGGAGATTTTCTACCAAGTTCTGTAGCCCGGCAATTATCCACTTCTCGTGCGCACAGGTGGACAAATAACTCATCAGGGGGTCATGGCGTCTGTCAGGCCGACTTTGACCACAGGTTATTGAACAAGAACCACCCACATACCAGGTGTCGGCACGGTACAGGCATAGCGTCCTGAGATATGTTGGCCAATGTAAGTTGGAAACAAAGACAGACATATCAGACAGAAAGAGAGAGGGAGAGAGAGAGAGAGGAAAACAGACACAGAGACTCACACAAACAAGTCACACACAAACACAGACACACACACGCATAGACATACACACACACACGCATAGACAGACACACACACACACACGCATAGACAAACACACACAGATATACACAAACACAGACACGCACTGACATATATATACACACACTCAGACAGAGAGAGAGGCTGAGAGGAAGAAACACACACACACAAATACTGACACACAAAAAACTTACTTCGAAGGATCAGCCGAATTGTGATATTTTGATTCATCTAAAGTTACGGTCTTCTTCTTCATTGCAATTTCCCTTGTTTTACCTTATCTATCATTCAAATTGATATTGTATGATGGACGTTTCATGTTGCAATACATCATTCAGAAGTCTGTAACCAACTCCCATGACAACAACATCCGTTGTTTATCTTGTTTGACAAAACTAATAAGGAAAAAATTCCGTCCTCAGCACCACATGATGACAGACAAACACTTTCCCCTTCCCGAGTGGACACGTTCTGATAACTCTGACGGATAACTTCTCACCTATTGACCCTGCCATTTATTGATTGATAAGGATTGATAAGGATTGATAAAAGGGCGGGGTTCTGACGTACATATAACACTGGACGTGGCGTCAAAGTGCAACGATCAATACAGGGTTATCACAGGGTACACCTCAATTCAATTATACCGTCCCTTTAAATAGAGGAGTGTAAACAAGCATGATATTGACCCAACAAAATCAATGAGGGAAAAGTTTACGGGTTAGTAGGTAGACATTGTTTTAAGATTATTTTAAGTCGAGTTGAAAATATTCTACATGACTTTGAGAAAAAGAAGACTAACTAACATCTACCTCTATTTTGGCATGTGATAGTTTCTTTATTGTAAAAATGACAGTGAAGTTTGCAACTATTAGAAATTCTAACAAAATCTATACAGTCAAGTAAATGTAGTCTTGTCTCATACTATACAGCCTTTTTTATGCTTAGCAGTAGATTTGTCTTCAAAAATAGCAGAATCTGTACTACGTTTTGTCATAATATAAAGTTTTTGAGCAACAAAATAATCACTATACCGACTAGATAGATAGACAGAGGGAGGGAGAGAAAGAGAGTATGCTCACTTAGAGATCCATACACGGTGAATTCTGACCCTGACCTCCCAAGTGCTCCTTAGTTGAAGCCATTGTACATTTATGTATAGATAATCCTGTAGATGTAATGAGTTGACGACTTTGATTTTGACCTGTCCTGTCTTTATCTTATGTAGCTTCTTGTTGTCCTTGTGTCTTATATTAGTCCTTTAAAATAGTCTTGTAACTAGTTGCGCAACATTGGCTCTTTCAAGGTGTACAGCTGAACCAGTAAGATTTAAAAAAAAAGATATACCTACATACCAGAGTTATCAACCAAGGATTGAGGTGTTCAAGAATCCATTCTTTCCTAGAACTATCGCAGAGCACGTGGAACTCGCTGTCACCAAGTACAGTAGGGGCATTGTCATTAGATAGCTTTAAACAATGTCTACAGTTAGAAGTTCAAGGGTTAGGTGTAACAAGTCGATCGGTGTAATACAGCCAGCTGCCGCCGCGCCGCGTGCCTGCGAAGCTGATGTGTTACGCCGAAGGGCGGTTATACCGGCGATACAGATACAGATACAGATGTGTATAACGCTGCTTGTTGCATGTTATTTTCAGGCTGTAAGGTCAACACGCCCGGCTACAGCCGTAACTACCGGACTAACGGGCGGTGCAGCACGGACCGGGCCACGGGTCTGCCGGACGAGGAGTGCCAGTTCTTCCCGTACCTGGACACGCAGGGCTCCGGACAGGGATCAGTCATGTACATGCAGTTCCTCAACCCGGTACGTTGGTTTGTATCGCATAATAATGGCACTGTCATAATCTCCAAGCAGATCTCTCGGTGGTCGCAAAAGACAGTACTAGTATCATATTGGCCAGGCTGTGTCCATTGGCTTCGGTGGCTTCACTGCCTTGCCACCGTATGATCTGCTTGGAGATTACCAAGTTAGATGTGTAAGGCCTCCCTAACACTGACGGACCCCCCTTCGCCATGAGGGTTATTCGATGTAGGTAGATACGGGTATGTATATCTACATTTTAAAATATGTGTACAAAGATTGTGAAAGCACGGACTGCCGGACGAGGAGTGCCAGTTCTTCCCCTACCTCAACACGCAGGGCTCCGGGCAGGGATCAGTCATGTACATGCAGTTCCTCAACCCGGTACGTTAAATAAATGGTTTATTTGCCAAACATCACCCGTGCAATCGCAGCCTTATAGTGCTGAATCGATGCAGGGGTTACAATACAATCAGATGACACAAATGGTAATAATACACATAATAATACACATGATACATATTTGTTCCACATTTTTGTGGAACTGCCGCAAGGGTCTGTGCGGCTGCCATTCGGCGCCACAAGGTGACCTCAATACGACTTTCCCCAACCGAAGTTAGGTACCCATTTACACCTGGGTGGAGTGAGGAAAGTCGTGTAAAGTGCCTTTCCCAAGGACACAACGTCGGGCGCATGCCCGGACACGTCCCGGGTACAACTTGGGATCGAACACAGGTCTCCCGGTTCACAGTTTTATACACACGTACAATCTATGTAAGACACAGCTACTTGCAAAAGCATATGCATCTCCTCAAGTGAGGATGATAAAAGAAGAGATGACCATACTGAAATTATAAGTGTGATGGGTTCTTAAATATGCCCGAGTGTGACCCTTCTTAAGTACAAGTACTAGTGTTAACCAGACCCTTCTTAAGTACAAGTGTTAACCAGACCCTTCTTAAGTACAAACTGTGTTAACCAGACTCGAGTAAAGAAATAGGTGTTAACTGCCTTTCCTAAGCAAACAACATTGACGCCTGCTTGGGAGTCGAACCCGGGACCCTTGTATGCTGTGTCTACCCTAACCACAAAGGCCCACGTCGCGACGTCGTTTCTCTAAATAGTAATTGCTTAAACTCATATAGCCGTGCCAACTCTTGGGGGTGTGATCTGTTACTGATTTATATACTATTATAGTCTAGTACTTGTCCATTGATCAGTATATATAAATAAATTACAATCAAAGGGCGCCTCCCAAGACTCGCCACGCCCGCCGTACGTACTCTTTTTTTATCGGGGCTTCTTTTCTGCAATAGAGTGAGTGCCGACAGAGGTTTGGTTGGTGTAAAAAATTCCAGTGCAAAAAAGAAACCCCGATTAAAAAAGACTAAAAACACGCCAAGAAGACGTCAAAACCCAAGCCTCTGCTTGGAGAGTACTAGACTCCATACTCCGTAGCATGCCAAAAACTGAGGATTTTGGGGGTCTTCAGGGTCTTTGGGATCTTTCATGTGCTGTATTCTAATTGCATATAGACAACATGGCCGGCCTGGTTGAATTACTCCCCGTTTTTTAGAACTGGGCTAATCAGAAAACAGTCGAAGACCACCAAACCCCCAGTTCTAAAAGCCTGATACGGAGGCTAGAAGAGCACGCCGTACCCCGACAGACGACCCTGTCAGTAGTTAGCGGTACTCTGGGACCGTGAAGGGCTTGTGTGGAAACGTTTGGGACAACATCCATGTCGTGTTTGTGATAACACGTGAAACACCGACAAACCACAAGATGAAGAACTTATAGCCTCCACCAGGCCTTCCTACAGGGGTACATCGTAGAATTCGGCAGGAGCACTTATTCCCGAGGGCAAGTGAACTCTGCGGTGGCAAAACTCCCTTGGTCAATTACTTTCCCAATTTGGCAAAATTTTACTGTTTTTGAACCTATGGTATTTGGAGAAGGCAAAACATGCCTAAAATGTAAATTGTTTTGCTGATATTTCTCAAAATCCTGTTACTAACACACATATGAAGAGATAGGAATCTTGATATTATCGCTTAGTCATCCTAAGCTTTTGTTAGCTTTTAAACCATAGAAAATTAATGATCTTTCGTCCCATTTTTGGAACACGACACACACACTTCTACTTGTTTATCGATCTTTATTACAATAATATGATTAATGTAGAAGTTCAAAGTCGGCTACAAGGACAAATATTTATGACAATTCGTTCGAGTCAAAAGACAAAAGCGACCATCAAAAACTTGGTAACCATCTACAACCTTTTGAGAGCCTATTATAGCTGGATTGAATTTGTTTGTGATCTATTTAGACCTAAGTTTGGATTCGTGTGTGGTTGTTTCTCTCACATGTCACGCGTTTTGGTAAGGTACTATCTTTATCTATCTTATAATCGTGGCTGTGGCAGGTACGTGGGGGAAGTTCTGTTGACAAACAGTTTGACAGTTTACGTTCGAGAAGAAAAGAAAGCAGTTTGGGATAGTGTTGGTGGGATTCGGAAACGCCAGAAGGGTTGTGAATAATGTGTTTAGAAAGGGATTAAAATGCCTGAGGTTGGGACAACTGGCTAAGGCGAAAGTTTGGCGTGCGGTTTCTCGTCAATAGAGTTGATGACAGAGTTTTTCACCGGGCAGTCGACCTCTCGTTCGCTTGAAACGACCGCCCGATTATTGGTTTTCTCGAGAAGTCATTTAGTTGACAAGTTAATAGGTTGGGCTGAGTGGGAACATAAAAACAGGCTGATCACGGTTTGGTCGATTGACCCTAAAACGTGCTGCATAGGCAAATTTAGCAGAGTTGGCCATGGTGACTGCGCGTAGTGCAAAATCTGTATTTGTACAGTATTTTCTGCTCGTGAAAATGTAAGAAATAGCTACAGTATGATTAAATGAATGAAAGAACGCCTGCAGAGTTTTCAAGAAACAATAATGGTGTAGATTTAAAAAAGTTACCAGGATTTTTGTTGTGATGGTCGTCAATAGCAACGGGCCAGGCGTTAAAAATTTTCATTACTATCGTGCTATTGGCAACGAACTAAAAAGTTATTGGGCTCTAAACAATATAGGTCTCGGTTTGATGTAAATTTTACTCCTGTTTTCTTTCGTCACAATTTAAGATCCTTGGGTAAACAAAACGACAAATTTTACAACAGAAAACTATTTTATTCACTGCCATGGCTGAACAACATGTAAAATTCGCAAGGTGGCGCTTTCTCCCATTTCTCGTTCACTTGTTTGTCCCTGTATACTGAAATAGCACCACGCTATGGTCGAGTTTTCATCGACCGTTCCAAATTACCATTTCGGATGTTAAGTGCTAAATAACCATGGCGGCACCGCACAAAAGCTGCGGAGAGCGTAACACAATCTCTGCGAAGGCTGCGGAGAAGGTTGTAATTTGGTCCTTCGTATATGTATCAATTAATATAGTATCAATACGAGTACAACTATCCCTGTCCTTGGTGCTGAATTCCTTGTACCGTAGAAAATCTCCTTGCATCAGGGTGTAGCAGCTGATGGACCGAATATCACGAACAAACAAACAAACACAAACAAGTAAATAAATAAACTATAATGTTCTGTTTTCCTTCCTTCCGAAGGTGGATCAGTTCTGTGACGACAGCGGAGGTGAACACGGACATAACGCGGACGCACCAACCAACGAACCAAACAAGCAAACAAGCAAACAAACAAACAAACAAACAAACAAACAAACAAACAAACAAACAAACAAACACACTATAATGTCCTGTTTTCCATCCTTCCGAAGGTGGATCATTTCTGTGACGACAGCGAGGGAGAACACGGACATAACGCGGACGCACCCAACAAGCAGAACCGCGTGTGTGACGGCCGCAGCACCTGGGACGTCATCACCAGCACCGAGGACTTCAGGGCACCGGACGGTAACATTTGCTTCATTCATTCATTCATTCATTCATTCATTCATTCATTCATTCATTCGTTCATTCGTTCGTTCATTCGTTCGTAGGTTAGCTGAGTTTCCACATACTGCAGTGTTCTATAACGTTCTGTAATTATGACGAAAAGGCTAAACACTATGCCCAACACTAACTAAACTGAGACTTTACTTTGTTCACGGAATGGACCCGTCTACTGCAGCTTCCGGGCGTGACATCGGAAATATGTTATTGCAGCAGAGGGTCGTACGTGTTAGATAACGTTTGGACATAATGTTTACCCTTTTCGTCATAACGAAGTACATGTATGCCAACACAGATGGACTTTCATGCTAATGTTCCGTAATTGTTCGCAGGTACGGACATTAACACGGCCCGGGCCGTGTCGTCCACCCAGCCGACCTTCCGTGTGGTGAAGGCCCGCAAGCCGCGATACGTGCTGGCGTTCGACACATCCGGCAGTATGGACTCGGTACGTAATAATTTCTCTCCCTCTCTCCCTCTCCCTCCCTCTCTCTCCCTCTCTTGTCTCTCCCTCCCTCCCTCTCTCCCTCCCTCCCTCCCTCCCTCCCTCTCTCTCCCTCTTCCCTCCCTCTCTCTCTTCCTCTTTCCTTCTCTTTCTCAATACGTACTCGTGCCTCTGTCTCTCTCACAGCACCCATATTTTTGGACCTATCTCTCTCCTTTCCACGCACGTCTATGTGAACAATGAATAAACAATACGATATTCCTTCTTATTTATTTTATTTTATTATGGGTTCACCACACCACGAAGTGGTGTGGTGAAACCATATTGCTTTTTCT